AAACATGCATTCTGGTTGGCAGGGCCGGTTTTTCACAAGCAACTGGAATGTTCATCTAGTTTATATGAAGGAAACCCACATTAGGCTTCTCACGCTACCACTTTGCCAGAGGAAAGGGGAAGAAGCCAATTATGTTTAAGTAAAAATGCAGAGTCTGTGCATTAAGCCGTCTTTACTAAGTAAATCTGTCTCATGACGAATCATTTGATGGTGTGTCAGTCTGTCAGATCCTTACTTATTGTTCTGTTTGAGATAAATAAGATTTGAATCCTTCTCCAAGTCTAAATGATCGACTGCATCGACCTTCCGGTCAGTCTCGTAAAAAGAGTATTTAAGCAGCATCTGAACATGAATTCAGGAAGCTTGCAGAACGTGTGTGGTGGCGCAATGGAATTTGCACCATCTTGCATGTAGGAAATCATGATGCTTGTGATGAGCAGTGGCATGAAACAAAGAGACCACTTCTGCTTCCCCCTGCACCGGAGAAGGCTCAACACAACAGCTTTATTGTAATCACTTCTGTCTTTGAATTCACATACATGAAACATGGAGGGGGAGAGGGTTTAAGAGGCGGCACTGCAATTGGCACAAACAAGGACTGCATGACAGATCGCCTGAGAGTGACTAATTCAAGAGATGAGCAATGTATATACAGATAGTTCTGAGCATCGTTCTACTCCTTTTCCTCTCCATGCAAAGCCGATCAGATAGTTAGCATTAATTATTGGTGTCTTCATTTAGGCCAACATCTCACTTGATTTTGTAGCTAAAGTGCCCACACAGTTGTTCTAGTCGCACCAGATCCAGTCAGGTGACACGCTTTAATCCCTCTTACACTGGTGTTATTCTTCGTCTTGACAACTGCTGATCTTCGATGCGACTCCGCCGCCCGTGAAAGAATCCAGTAAATCAAAATTGAGCATCTGTCGACTGGCTCCCGGCATTTTCTTTGTCAGTTGTCACTTCCCTCACTCTCTGGTGAAACATACAGGTTTCACAGCTCTTCTTTCCTTGCGCAACATTCCTCTAACATATATGACTATAGTATTGGGCCGCCTGAGGGGTTTCTCCTTTAAGCAGCTATTGTTTGTTGCTCAACTGGGTCAGACAGACGTCTATAATATGACCACATAAGTTAATGCAATGTCTCTGAGGTCTTTGTTGGCTAAAGGAGCCATCTTCAGTATCTGCTTTTAAGGAGTAGAGCCGAATGAGGGGGAAGCTTCAGGTACGTCAGGACTGTTTCTAAATGATTGCGAAGAATCCCAGCAGTTTGATTTAGCCGGCGCTATGTTGGGAGTCACTTACATTTTGTGACGTTTGCAGCATTTTCTGAGCTAAGTTGCCTAACTTCTGTTAAAATATGATCACTGTTTACTATAAAGGAAGAAGAATTCAGTATTGATGCGTGCTAGTGTGGTTTGTCACTTGTGATAGGCTCAATTCCTTATAAAATGCAAGATCAGTGATACTGTGTAAACATATACATGAGTTGATCTGTCAGTTGGTTCAGGCTAGTGTGATGTTACACTATCATTTATTTTCCATTTTCATTAAACAGGTGAGTGTTTAGTGAGAGCAGCAGGATGTTTGAGGTGTTGACTCGTGTTTCATTATGTATTCACGCCTGTGTAAACACAAGATATGAAAAATAGTTGATTTTCCTGCGAATGGATGCATAATGCCTCTGAAATAGGAGATAGGAGACCTTGGATGTGAAGCTGTTTATCCATCTCTGGTGTTCTTTAAAATGCCTACCTGTAATTACATCGCCACGGCTGTTAAAATGTAGTGAAATTTTCCGAGTATCTCCAGGAAACTGCATGCTAGGGGAATAAAGCCCCTCCCCTCTAGAGACAAAATAATACCCTCATTGTAATGATGGGGTTTATTGTGTGCAAAGAGTGCTGTGTTGGTCAGTTTTTTAGGTAAGCTCAGCATGGTTTAATGTGGTGGCACTTTGAAGACTGGTATTACCTTGACGCTCTGCTGACTCTTAGTGTGTTTTATTCAAGGCCCGTCATGAATGTGGTCAGCTGTAAGAACTGCTTGCATCAGCTCTCAAAAAAAGGGGGGGAAAACTGTTTTAACTTAAAATTTCCATTAAAGTCACAAAAGTTTTTATTAGGAAAAGAGTGCACAGTTAGAATGTAAAGGTAGGAGATAAATGCTAAGATTAATTTTATAAATAGCACATTAAAAAGCGTAGAACAATCTTTTAGGGTTATGTGTCCAACAGCTTTGCACAAGAATTGTGTCCAATTTATTATTCTGACTTACGTTAGTTTGTATTTAGAAGCAGGCTTGTCCAGTTTAGTCTGGATGGAGGGCTTTTACAGAGAGAGTCTTTCCCTCATTTCTATGGAGGGAAAGACATATTTTAGAATGCCTTTAAAAATGTGGAAACAAAACCCTAGAGGAAGCTGTCTTCTATCTTCATATCCTCTCTGTATTTCCTCAGGTTAAAGACATTTAACAAAATGATATTGTAAAGTCATGGCAAATGGCCAACAAGTAGTTTGATATCTGTGTCTTGATAAGTAGTTTGATATCTCCAAAATAAAAAGCCTTTTTGGAGGTTTTTTTTACTGCAAGTGTAATGATATTCACTAATAAATTATGTCTGCCTTTAAAAAAAACTTCTGGAAGATGAATTTAGGGTATTTTGATTTTAACAAAAACCTTTGTATACATGTGCAAGAATAAGATATGTCAAAGGAAACCTCTTTCAGACTAAAAGTTAAACCCACATTCCATTCTTAGGTTGTTTTTTTTTAGCCACCTCTAACCCGTTTTATCTGCTCCTGCTAGAGATAATCATCCCAAAGCATAATGCTGCAACTACCATGTTCCCCTTTGGGGGTGGCCTTCTTAAGGTGTCAGTTTACAACACACATAACTTTTAGTATCAAGGCAAACAAAAAAGTTTTATTGTAGTCATCTAATCAGAGAACTGTGTTCTCTACATGTACTACGGTACTTAATATTTTATTTCAACAATACAGGACTCTTGCCTTTCCTCCATAAATGCTGCTTTTAAGAAAGAAGATCTAAGAGTTTTCCCTGGCATCTTGTTTTCCCAAAAAGTGTTTAATTTCTGCTGCTCTTCTAGAGTCACGATGAGACGTGTCCATCCTCTTGGCTTAGATGGTGACCAGGGCTGCAACTAACAATTATTTAGCAAATCGGTTAATCCGTTGATTATTTTTTCGATTAATATACTGTAAAAAATTTTGCACTAAATAAATTCTTTTTTTTTATAATTGCATTTTTAAAAGAGAAAAAAAAAACATTTGCATTATCTTATTTCAAGTGTATATTATTTGAATATCTTATTTTACGAGTGAAAATACTAATTCCATTGGGAAATCATCTAATTTACCAACTCAAATTAAGGGTAGATAAACTTAATTTGAGACACTTTTACATTTTTGCAGTGTAATCTGATAGCCAAAGGTTCCTTAAAGAAGATTTTTTATGAAATTAAACCAGGTGAAACTAAAACCTTCCACTAGAGGAGTTCTGGATAGGGCATATTGGCAGACAGATTTTATTCATCTTAAATGCAAAATGTTTATATAATTTTTTACAATCTCTGCATAATGACTACTCTAGGTGGGTTGCTCTGTCAGCCTACACTACAGTTTAAGATTAATTGATTTCTAAATTAGTTTACGGTTATTAAAATAATCAATTAATCCAGATTAATCCGATTAATTGTTTCAGCCGTAATTGTGACCATGTCTTGGTGCCAAACTCTTTCCTTTTTCAAATGATAAAAATCAAACTGATTTTTTTTTTTTATCCAGTGGAAGCTCAGAGACCTTTAGAGGCAGCATGGCTGAACAGGTTAGGTGGCGCCACACAGTCACCATCAGCTCCAGTCATGACTGGTACTCCTGCACATCCAGCAGCTGCGCTCAAATCTAATTTCCCCGTCTGCTGTTGACTTTTGAGTGCAGCCCTTATCTATAGCCAAAAGATCTAGCCGCAGCCTAGTTGTACTGTAAGCTCTTAGCAATAGGGATTTTTTTTTTTTATTCCTAGAAAATCTGTAACTCTTTGCTTATAGCCGAGACTGTTTTGCATACTTGGACCTTTTCTGAAGCAGGTATGTTGGTGAACTACATCTTCCTACACATGTTGCAGAAAAACTCCCCACGGTGTGTCACTCACATGCGAAAAAAATCAGGGGGGGAAATACACGGGTTAAACGTGAGTGTGCTTCACCTGTAGCCCTTTCAGGAAACATGAGAATATATTTATCCAGACAGAGCGGCTGTTTTGTATCTGCAAGCAGAAGCTTATCATAAATTCAATCCAGGCAGGTGAGAAAAATGACAGTTCTTCCTGTGATTTCACTTCCCCTTGTTCTTTTTGAAACATTGTGTCCTCTGTGAGCCTCTCACCCTCTCTGTCTGCTCTGAGTAATCCTGTGCACACAGCATGGCAGATGTTATCTCTGGGACTCTGCGTATGTGTCACCGGGAAATTAAACTTTTTTTTTTCTGTGAAATTAAGCCTGTTCTCCTCCGTCGCAATGTCGTAAGATCATAGTTCATTAAGAAACCCTACTCTCTTGGTTGCTACAGGTCATATAAACATTTAAAAATGATTAATCAAACAGGTTGGAAATGTACTGGACTTTTTTTTGGCAGTGTCACCTATTAACTCTATGTCTCTATAATGGTTTATAAAATGTGTTGGTTTCGAAACAGGGAGCAAGTATGAAGAAACGCTGCCAAAAGAAGAGTGTGGTTTTAGATTTCTTTGTTAGATAAGAGTCAAATCCCCCGTAAAATCGTAGTAACTGTTCACCCTCAAGCTGTGGGATAGAGGCAGGGGTTTTATTTCTGAAATGAAAATCTCGTTTTCAGAGCAGTTACCAGTTTTGGCAGTGCTTTGGGAGAAAGGTCTTTCCCCTAAGCTCAGGTTAGTGATGTAAACAGAAAGTAGTGGTGGAGCAGTTTTAACATTATGCACTTCTTTTTGTCCCTTAGGTATCTGTAGTTTGTCTGCGGATCTTTGTACCCCTACCTTCAGTGCCACTGCTTGTGCCTCGACAGCTCAGCTCTGCCTCCGGCTTTGGTTTCCGCCAGTACTCCCAGAAGAAACTCTGCGACAAGCAAGAGGCCCCTGAGACCTCTGTATGTCTCATAGCTCCTACAGACCTATTTCTTGTTTTACCTCCCTCTGTTTCCCCTTCAGCAGCCACATTTTAACATAACTGAACACCGTAGAGCTGTTCTGCCACATCACACTTCAGAATTGCTCTTCGGTTCGGGATAAGAGTTTGACGCTTGACTGGAAGTTAACTTGGTGCTCCTCAGACGGGGGGGAGGAAGGCCGCTGAACACAGTGCTGCTTTCCCCGGAGATGAAGCTGCAGGCCGTGATGGAGAACCTGCACAGGCAGCAGAGGGCCAAGCTTCTGATGGAGCAGCAGCTACAGCAGCAGGCCATCTCTCAGCACGCTCAGGGCCGCACAGGAGACAATCCGATGGAGAGCCCTGCCCCCGAGGGCGAGCAGGCCCAGATAGCGGCGCTGGCAGCCATGCGAGCTGCGGCGGCCGGGCTGCAAAGAGTGTCAGACAGCCCCATGTCGAAGCGCAGCAGCGGCGGAGAGGAGGAGCGTGAAGATGACAACGATGAAGGGGAGGAGCATTACAAGGACATGATGGGCTCAGATGAGGAGGAACAGATGTAAGTAGCTAAATGTATTTTGTTTTTTTTAATGAAGTATACGTTTTTTAAAACCTTTTTTAATTTCCAAAATTCATGTTCAGAAAAAGAAAATGGAACGAGGGGGACTTTGAAAGCGACATGGAAGAAGACTATGATGATGACCTGGCAGAGGAAGGCTTGCCGACAGGCCACGACGCCCTGGCTCCAGGAAAGGGCATCCTCCTGCTGCCCCACCGTCAGCTCCACCCCCACTCCCAGCTGCTAAAGGTCCGTCCCAGTGTCGAACAAGAGCCCCGCGTTGCCATCATGCCTCCCCACGCTCCACACAGCCACCTGGGGGGACAGGACCATGGAGAATGGACCTATGAGGAGCAGTTCAGACAGGTGGGACCTCTCATTTAAGAGATAAAACCTGACAAAGTCTGTGACTTTACTTAGCTCTTTGGTATTTCTTGTATGATAGTTTCCCATATTTCAAGTTGAATAGTCTGTATTCTTACATCTAAGATACAGAATAAGATTAATCCAGCACTAACTTTAAAAATATTTTTGAAAACATGCATAATATTTAATTTTACTCTACTTACTCTATCAAGGAGGTTATGTTTTAAGTTGAGTTTGTGTTTGTTTATCCGTTTGTGTACAGGATCACTTTAAAAATTATTAACAGATTTTTATGTTATTTAACTAAAGATGCACCTCAGTCTAAGGAACAATCCATCAAATATTGGTAATGATCCAGATAATAATCTGGATGCACTAATCTTTTAAAGGATTCTTTAATATTATTTGGCAGAAAAAAGCAGTTTCCCTAAATCTAAAGAGTTGCAGCAAGGACTATTGACAGCTTCAGCATCAGATTAAAGAAAGTCCAGAAATATTGAAGACAAAAACACAGGAGAGATGACCCATTTCTCCGTGGAAGTCTTGATTTGCTGATCAAATAAGAAAGCAGAGTTAATGAAGTAGGTGAGAGCAGAGCAGAGCAGACACCAGAGGCTGCAGAAATGCGCTGTGCCTTATTTATAAACTTTTGAAAGGATTTTACCAAAGGAAGGTGTGCCTCATGCCAAGCAACATTACATTATAATTTGGTAATGATCCAGATCATGTGAGAGTTTAAGCTATCCATTTAAATCACAATATGGGGCAAAATTTGCTTCTCGGTGGAGGTCTCCTCTCGGAGTGCTTTTCTATCTCTTTTTGTTTTACTCTTCTTTTTTTGGTTGTAGTTACTTTAACAACCTTTAAATTTTACAACAAAGGCTATAAAACAGATTAGGTGTTTTCTTGTTCTTTTGTGACCTCCTGAGTGAGTCATCGGAATATTTTGATTGGCTAGCCAGCTTAAGGCATGTCCTGCTCACAGTTTTAGATTAAGGCTCTATGTGGTTAAGTGAACTGAAAAAATTAATCACTTATATTAATTTCAATAGGTTTGTCTCTTATCTGAAAAATTTGAATGTCTTTAAAAGAGGCATCATGTGCTGCTTTTTGAGATATTTTGGCCTACTTCATGTCATCAGACGGGTTCTAGACAACTAACCTTTGGTTTTTACAGATGTGGGAGAAATTAGCTAATGAAATTTAAATCAGTTTTTGTGGTTTGTGTTTGAGCCTACAAGTGGGTTGGATGCATAGTTTTTTTTTCCAGCATTCTAATCATTACACATAATTTAAGATCAACCAATTACTGTTTAATTTCTTGTCTGCTGTTAAAACGTTACAGAACATTCAAGTGACATATAAAAAGAGAGATGTTTCCTGAATTTTTAATTCATTTGAGTCATACTTGAGCTGTCATGATCAAATTAAAAATAATGACAAAAAAAAAAACTCCAAAAAAGTGAATTAATGGAATCCTAATGAACTGAAGTTTCCCGTTTGAAGAACAAACAAAGGATTATTCTATTCTACTTCCATTAGCAGAGCTAGCGTGTTTCCTGTGGAGATTCTTATCTGCCACTGGACCCCACCTCTCCTTGAAGCAGAGTCGTCTGGTGGGAAGAATCTGGAGTTTCTGTTACCTGCTGTCTGACTTGTTGTTCTTGAGACAGACCGTTGCCTCTGAGAGACCTATCAATGTTTTTTTTTAAGTTGAGATAAAGCTCTCTGGAATACCTTTTTATAATAATAATAATAAATTAACACCTCCATGTTTTCATTTTTTCTACATATTACTTAAACTGAAAAGTCAACCCGTAGAAACCAGTATTGTCCCGGTGTAGAATGGTGGAAAATGGCAGTGAAATGCAGCGTTGTCTGTGTACGTGCAATTACTCCTGCATGCATCTTGTTGAGTGTGGTTTAATGCTATGTGACGCCTTTTATTTTGAAAAGCAACAGAATATAAAGGGGGTGTCCGGTCCTTCACGGTAGCACTGTGTGATACATACCTGTTAATAAAAAAACAACGTGACATGGTGTCAGGAGTGGAATACGACGCATGAATGAAGAAAGATGAAGAAGAGGGCTAAGAGGAGAAATCGTGCATCAAGCGGATTAAAAGAATGTTTTGCAAGTAGCTCTGGTGACGAAACGAGAGACAAGCAGGCAGAAATGGGGCAACCCCCGCCATACAACCTCCTGTTCAGTCATTGTGGAGAACCATGGCTTCTGTCATTTCCAATGGTCAGCTGTTAGAGCCACATCTGTCCTTCATCCTCCTCATGTTAAACCTGCATGAGACACATGGTGAAATCTGAACAGGGTGGGAGCCAGGCAGCTAAAAACCGCATTTTACCACCTGACCCTCTCACAGGAACCATTCTTTAAATTTCCTGGTCTAATAAAAGCCCTTTTTTTCCCCTCCCCACCAGAACTACTTACTCCCAGGTTAGATTTAGCTGTAACTCACTATGTATTCCCTAAAATAAGCCCATGAAATGGTTTGGTATTCCCTAAAATATGAACTTTTATTAACCTTTTTTTTATAGATTGAACTGTATTTGGTCAAAGCAATTAATAGGAAATCAAACTTTTTTTTTTTTAAGTAGAAAATTAGTTTTAACAGGGATTAATACAAGTAAAAGTTTTTTTGTTCTTGAAATGGGTTAGAGTGGGAGGATCAGGCGTAGTTGAGAGCAGAGTGGGGGGTGGGTCGGTCAGGGAGCATTTTAACAGCTTTACCGTGCAGGAGTTTACTGTAAACATGCCAGTGGGTTGGATATTATGAGGGAGGCTTGAGTGAAATAAGACAGCCTGTTTACATGGCAAGACTTAAGGCTGTCAGCAGCTCCGTTCAGATGGAAGACTGCTGTCAGTTAACAGAGACTGACAGAAAACTTCAATCTAACAGCAGTTTAAATCAGGATATTAAAAAAAAAATCCCCACTGTTATAAAGATGATTTTTATTGGAATGTTATCTTTTTCTTCTCTTAAAAACCGGATAAAGATTTATCAGAAGACTGACCTTTGCAGCCTCAAGCAATCACTAAAGTTGCAGATGGACTTTTTAGTGTCCTTGATTCAGTTTATAAAAATGTCTTTCCTGTAAGCATGCCTCCTCCTCTGCGCCAGAGCCTGTTTTTCATCTCCTATATATACATGCTCATGTTTGGCACGTAGTGAGCCACCATTTTATGAAGCTTATTATTACATAATGGGAGGCGCATTGAATTGCAAACACTATCATGGTCTGTTGCAATATCTCCAACCATAAAAATGATCATTGTGAGAAATGGGCTGGTCCTTGTATCACATTTCTTAACTTTTGGTGCATTTTTCAACACTGAGACAGTCGGCAAGTCTGCAGTGAATTATTTTAGCCACATTGCATGCAGCCTATACAGGCTTTTTTATCAAGCCTAACTATAGATTCTGTAATTTAAGGCCCTTTTTTTAAATTACAGACCTTGTGGAATATAACTCCCCTAAAACCTATACTCCGCTTCTCTAAATAGCCCACCCCTCCCTATGTGAAGGTTTCTGTGAGCGCCCTGACAGGGTATTCTCAGATTTCATGTGGCAGGTATGACATACAGGGCAATTTTGTCATCAAGCTTCAATCAGCAGTGGATTAGATTTGTCTTCGGAACATTTGGCACCTAAGCGTGTTTTCATCTTTCTTAATCTGTAGATTATTAAAGCTTAACTTCTAAATATTTTTTTATCTCATCATTGATGCAGAGACGACCGATAAGAAAAGAAAAGAAAAAAACTGTATATTAGAAATGCACATTTCTCACATTCACACGGCTATTTTTGCTTTGTATGATTATAGCAATGAGCTGTAATTGCAGTTATAGTCTGTTATAACAACCACTGAGTGCCTCCTGATAATTCAAACCCCACACATCAAAGTAGCTGATTTTCTCTTTTTTTTTTTTTGTCTGGATTGTATATTTATTTTTGCTTCCTTTTTTTTCTTCTAAAACTAACAAGTGGTTTCTTTGTTGCTTTTTTTGGATGGATATAATTGTTAAATATATACTCCATCTTTTCACTTCTTTTAATTGTATGAGGCTACAAAGCCTTGTGCGTTTATGAAATATTAAAGCGAGGTCGCCGCAACACCATAATGCATGCAATCGCAAGATGGGCAACAACGCTGAAATATCTGCAAAACAGTAAAACAAATTATGTTGCAGTTATCATCTAAAAGAGCCCTGCATTGATGCAGCCAAAGTGCTGAGCTGGAAGGTTTACTTTTATAGCGACTTCATTAATAATGAGAAGAAGCGAGCGCACTTTAATGTTGTGCTTCACCTCTTTCAGACTCCATTCAGTCTGCTACTCCTGCTTTTATAAGGGGGGAAATATACTTTCCCCTTTATGCCACAGAGACCAGGTAATGCTCTGTATTGTATCGGATAATCCTGCATCTTCACAAGTGTTTTAGTTCAAACACATCCAGCTTACAGTGCTTTGGAAAAGTAATCCTTTTTCACATTTGTTTGTGTTGAAGTCACAAACCTCTATGTCTTTTCCTGGAATTTTATGCTTTGCTCTCAGCATGATATTGCCACCATCATGTATCGCTGTAGTTGCAGTCTGTTCAGGATCGTGTACAAGGTTAGTTTTTTGCCACACATAAAGATGAAAAAGTTCTGTTTTGGGCTCCTTTGTACCTACTTGTTTGTTATGTCTTCTACTAGGCTGTTTCAACCTGGAAATAATTCTTCTAATTCTTCTTATGTTATCAGCCAACAAGTTCTTCCCAGTCCTCTATAAAAGTCAGACTGCATATTTATTTATTTTTTGTACAATTTTTTGATGATAAATTAAACAGGGCTTCATGAGGTATTGTTTTTTAAAGAAGCCCCAAGTAAGTCTTAGTCAAGCAGCAATATTCCGACGTTTAACCCCACCCCCAAACCTGTCTACCTGCAACCTGCACTTTGCTGTAAAAAAAAGTAAATCAAGCACTGGCTTTCCTTCCTTT